GAAGCATTTGCAAACTTAAATAACTAATTATAGATGATATATTTATATTGAGATGTTGTGGAACAATTTATTGTAAGATAGGCAAATATAAGGAAACACTTGGTAAATTAAATAAATCATTAAAGATTGATTCAATAAATATAGGCCATTAAAAAATTCAAAGAAATATTAGTTAAGAAAATACAAAACATAGCTTTCAGATTTAAATGAATCATTGAAATCAAACAAAAATCATTAACAATTGAAAAAAACAATAAAATTACGTTAACTGTGATTCTGATATAGAAGGTTGATAATTGCACAAAGTTTTTAACTTTGATCTTATAATTATAAACATATAATTGAGTGAATTACACTTCATAAACTAGATAATATTAAAAAAAACAATATTAAAAAGATGCATTTGTTCAAAAAATTTATAGCAAATATATAAAATCTTAAAAGATTTTATATAATCTATTAAATGAATAAAATTAATTATATAGTTTGATAATTATTTGTAATGCATATCTGTGGATAACAAGCTTAAAATATATGTATTGATACATTTATTCTAATTTTTAATATACTAATACTGTAATTATAGCATATAATATATACTAAATCAAGGGTGTGGCGACTTAGTGTAGTTGGTAAGTTGTTACACCCCAAGCGGCAGGACAAGAGTTCGAATCTCACCGGCGACGAAATTCGAATTTGCGGAAATGTGTTACAGTAAAACTGTATGACATGTCAATCAAGTCAGCACCTGTAACCTTGGTCTCACCAACTCGTATTGGGAGGTTGTGAAATGTAGTGTAATGCATAAGTTATATGAAACCTGAGTGAAGCAGCCAAATAAATCCAAGGGATTGGAGGATACAGAAGCCCGCTTGGAAAGTTCTGAGTAGAGAGATAGCACAGATCTTTGACGATGCTACGTAAAGGATTATCATCTGGGGAACCGGACACCGAAGGCAAACTAAACAAAGACCAAGTGTTTGGCAAACACTACACCAACCAGGCCACCGGATTAACTGGAGGAAAAAGGATTCATTCGGAATACCAGAGGACGCCCACTGGTCCCTCCCAGGCCATCTGGATTGGAGGTTTAGAGAGCCAACAGTTGGCATCGAAGTACTGTTAATAGTCTGTAAAGTGGGTGCTGGGGTTTGGATGAACTTTGCAAGGGCACAGAGTAGGTAATGGTAGCAGAGGTAAAAGGCCGCAAGTACTTGGCCGCGGCCTAGACGTAAGCTACCAAAAATCTAGGTGATACATGTGTGAGACATGGACCGCTCTGGTAGGTTTACCACAAGGATAAAGAACCCTCCTATATGGTAGTGTGTGTCCAAAGGGGCTTACACGACAGTTCCTCTTTGAGGAGAATATCCTGATGGCGCTAAGTTGATCAGAGGGTTTAATTGAGTAACTCAAGTAATAGTGAGTTACAGATACGACATCTAGTGTAATTTATATGGGTTACATATGCAAGACTGCTTAAATAAACAACCAAAAGTTGTACACATGGCTAGAATGTATCCTTGTTAATGTAACAAAGTCAGGAGTAGCCCATGTGGTTACCCTGGCATTCGATCCAAAGTTCAATAAAACATGCCAGACCCCAAAGTGGTCACCTTAACATTAAAAAAAAAATATATATATGTACTAAATCTAACTTATATAGATTTTCTTAAAAATAACTTATTCTATCAAGTTTATATAACCATGTATACATAATATTTTGTGTGTTTACATAGTTGCATGTATTAAGCCACTAAGAATAGATAATAACGACTAGTATAACTAAGGAAAGATTAATACATTATGGCAAATTTGTGAAATTAAGAAAATTAAGCAGATATAGTGAAAAGATGAAAGATGGGTTAGATTTTAGATTTGGGGTACAGTAGTGTATCATAATTTAAACCAGAACATATTTCACAATTATCTTGATTACTCTCACTATCAGGAGTAAACTTTTCAAATTTTAAGGTAGTTTGCAAAGCGTCATAATGATAACTATGGCGATTCAAAGAGAGAAGGTAAATAACCTCTTACTGCGAGACAAATATGGAGATTCAGAGAACAAAATTATCAATTACATTAGTTTTCTTTTGCCACTATTATTGCCTTTCACCAGTTTCGTTACCTTTCACCAGTTTCGCCACCTTTCGCCAGTTTCGCCATTTCGTCTTTTGAATTTTTTTTTGGCGAAAGTCGAAACTAGGTTTCGCCTTTCACCAATGACGAAACCTCTAGATTTCGCCTTTCACCAATGGCGAAACCTCTAGGTTTCGCCTAAAATCTTTAATCACTACCTCTTATTTTTAGAGTTATGATGCAGTTTTAGAGTAAGATGGGGTCAGATATAAAGGTTCAAATTTTAGTTAGGGTTAGGTTTGGGGTTCCTAACATTTTTGTTTAGTATCCCTGATGTGAATTAGCTAGTTGGTTTTTGAGATATAGCACCCAAGTGATAATCACCACCGGTTATAGTTAAATTGTAATTAATTTTATTTAGATTTATAAGACCAGTTGCCTTCATAAAATTTTGAGTTATTAATAAATTTAAATCGTCCCAATTGTCACAAACCCAACACTGCCGCAGAGTTATGCATAATATGGCCATTTGCAAGAATTATCACATGGTTTGGCAATTTATTGGCAAGTCGATGAAAGAATTATCACATAGTTTGCAATTTATTGGCAAGTTGATGAATAAAATCTTACAGATCCGGGAGATTCCGATGTAGAATTTGAATGAAGAATTTGTATGAACTCAAATTACGAGCAAGGGCATGAAAAGGTTTCAACACAAAATCCGAAAAGTTCTGACGAATTTTGCCACAGAATTGCACCTACAACTCTAAAATAGATTATTATGAAAATCATAGTAATCTATTTTTAAATTTGTAGGTTTTCTTTCGACAACACTCATATGTGTATCATAGAATCGCACAAATTTGATTCTACATCACAATTCGAAAATTTTGTGTCACAATTTTGATTTTGTCAATCACTGTCCCTGCTTGCACGGTGATACACTTTTTGTAAAAACGGATAGATAATCATCAAACCAAACCAATCAGCCAATCAGACAAACATAATTTACATGTATAATTTCTTTCACAACTCCGAAGTAAAATAACTCGCGTTGTAGATGAATAAAACTATTTACTCAAGTTAAATACAACTTACAATGCAAGAGCTTTATTAAAAAATTTCTGCCTGTCCTATAATCTTTTTTAAAATTTTATATAATTAACAAAACTATACTATCACATATATAAAATGGATCAAACATCGTTTAGAGAATACATATAACCTTCGAAACAATCTAAAAATTTTATAAATAAAACAAACTAGTTAATATTTGAATAATATTAATAATAATAAAGATAAACTGAAAACAATGAAAAACGAAGTTCATGAATCAAGCAGTACAATATTTTTATTACTTTCTGCTATACGGTAGATAACTGGGTTTTCTTGAAGGAACACTTGCTAGGAAGCTATTTTGTAGTAAAATTTATGCATTCATTTGATTTTTTATCTGGCTAATGAAATGATAATTACCGATTATTAAGGACAGGACGAAATCGGCAGACCATGCAAGTTATCTGAGTTATCCTGTTCCTGGTTTGGCGTGGTAACGTCACGCAGCACTTATTATTCAGTAAACATTTGTTATAGGAATTTGATTGGTTAGTTTTTTGGATAGTTCCATTTTTGTAAACAATAACATACACAAATTTGGATGTCACTGTAACCATATTTTTGTAAATACGTACGTACGTACCGGTACTCTAACTATATATAAATAATAGAGTTAAGTAGAAATGTGATAGTTATAGCCATATCACTATGCCAATTTGACGAATTTTTGGATAATTACGTATATAATGTCCGATACATAATATTCGGAACTTGTACGTACGTACGTTTTTTAAAACCCCAAATCTATTAAAAGGTTAAATATAAATGGGGACTTAAGTAAAGATCGAATCAACCGAATTGCAATTAGATTAGCGAATAACTACCACTACGATATAAATGTATAAAGGTCTTATCACGTTAATATATTACTTTAATAGGAACTGTTGATTGATACCGATACGTAACAAAGATTTAACAAAGTTTGGCATCTTACGGTGGGCTCATTCTTCTAAAATGAGATCATCGCGTGACCCTTATTAATATCAAATACGAAAATTGTTTCCCATTGGAAATAATTAAGAATAAAATACGTACTCTTATAATAAAAAAATTTTTCTTTTGAAAATTTACAGTTATTATAAAACTTTGATAGATTAACAACTACTATAATTCATCGCAAAAATTATAAATATTCCTAAAGAAAAACGATAAAGAAGTGTTATTGCATAATGTGTGACAACAATAAACATCTTATTGAAATTCTTGAAGGTTTGACTGGTTTGGAAAGTAATGTTAAAAAGGCACAAAATGTTCTTTTAGAACGTTGCCTTAACGCATCATCTCAAGAACTTAAGGGATTTTTTGATGAACTCTTAAGTGTCTTATGCCAATATCCTGATGTTTACATTCCAACTTTAAAGACTTACCTTTCATATCTTTATGGAAAGTATTTATGTAATAGCGATAGTAGGATTTCAAATTTTACCTCGATGCTGATCACTAATGTCATGATAGGCAATCTACGCTATTCAGATATTCTACAGTTCAGAAAACTTTTCATCTCTGCGTCGAGCTCCTTTGGAAAGTTTCGAATAATAAGCAAACAATCTGGACGACTGAACGTGTCTTCGATGAGATTTTGGATGCGCATGGAGTTTTTGGTATTTGGATTTCAGACAAATCTGGTTGTTACTGCATAAAGAGAATTTTGTTTGAATTCAATATGATAGAAATGATCGATCGTAATAAGGCACTAAGAGCAGTAGATATGGTTGCATCTCTCGTGGAAAATTGTTCAGATCACATTATTGGCACTTCACAACTACCAGAAAAGCTTTCTGAATATAAGGCTTGCACAGCATTGCTGGAAACACTAACAAGTTATCAGGATGCTCAAAATTTGAATAGGGGATGTAGCGCCTCCAAGTCTATGATAACAGTTAAAAGCTTACCTCTCACAATTCAAGATGAACAAAATTTTGCCATCTTGGGGATGGAAACTCCTGGAAAATTATCAAATTTATACATCATTTTACGAACCCTTGAAAAACGAAAAATAGATTTGCTCAGAGTAAGTCCAAACATAATTAAATAAAAGTTTTATTTAATGTTTATCACTGATATAACTAATTACTGATTTTTCCTAGGTTTTAATCGAATTTTTGCCATGTGGAAGTTGTCACAGACAAGCTCTTGTTTATTTCTCGCCAGATAAATATTCTTATCTTAAAAATGAGTCTGCAGATATAGATTATGATATATTCCTATCAGAACGTCGACTTCCATTTGAATTTAGTGACAGTGACAAATTAGGTCCATGGGACGTCCTGCTAAGTGAAGATGCTATCAGTGACATGCGAAATTTAAAGTCTCCTCAAATGATTAAGGCAGTTATGAAAAAATTTGGGCACATATCATCCGGAAAATGGGATCAATACGAGCTCAGAAATAAAGTTGTCGATTGTAGTTCCGTAGATGTTTATGAGATGGAACTTCCAGATCCAAAAGGGCTGAAAATTCTTTGGCAAGTTGACTGTCGCTTTTCTACGCGCAGTTGTTCGCTTGCACAGGTAGTGAAAATATGGACAGTCACTACAAATCAAGAACTGATCCGCGAGATGTTAGAAAATCTTGCAATCGTTCATCAAGTCTATACTAATAAGCAAATACAACGATGCAAGACAGACATAACTAAAGATGGTGTTATTTTGCCAAGAGACTTGAGGTTAAATTCCACTAACGAAAGATTATATAACAATCAGGATGATGATGAGAGCCTCATAAAAGTGCACCAATTACTTGTTACGAACAAGTTTATTTCCTTGTCGAAGGTAAAGAATATTCATACTTTTGTTATAGATTATCATGCATAAAGATTGTTAAATGCTATAATTTTTTGTTTAGAATTTGTTCAAATCAATCGTTCTTGGCGGTTCGGGTTTTACCTTCCAAGTATCTGAAGATGAATACAAAATCATCAAACATCCTGCGTCTGCTATCGTCTTTGGAAGATCTGGTTAGTATTTTAGTTTATGCCTGCATTTAGTTTAAATCTGTGAAGTAATAACCTCAATGTTGTTATAAGCTAGTTTTCAGCTATTAGCTATAATATTTTAATCATATTTAAAACTGGTGAATTTACTAGATAGTTACTTTCACGCTGATACGTAACAATAATACAATATTTTGGTCCTTCACCTAATTTAATTTAATTTAATTTAATTTATTTTATTTTATTTTATTTTATTATTATTATTATTATTATTTTTGCTGATATTATTTTCGGTCATATCGTGACTAAAAAATATGATATCGTTTTTCTTTGTTTTGCATACTTGTTTATAGGAACTGGAAAGACAACATGTATCATGTTTCGACAGATTGCTTCATACCTTATGAAATCCAGTCAATCCAATAATAAACTTTACAAGACTCCATCCTTACATACAAATGTCATAGATGCAAACGTTTTTAACAAAAGACAGATATTCATTACCGTGAGCCCCACTCTATGTATACGTGTTAAACAATATTTTCATCGATTACTGGAGTCTGCTATTCTCTCGGAGAAAAAGATGTCATTTACTCAATTTTGCGAATACATAAAAAAAAAAGAAGAGGAAAACATCAATAACAACCAGTCTAATAATACATTGCTTGAGGAGGACGATGAGATGAGGGTATTAGGCGACATTCCGAACTCGTTTCGTCAGCTAACAGATGATCACTTTCCATTGTTCATAACTTACGAAAAGTTCTCTCAAATGCTCGAAGGAACTTATGAAATTGATGTTAATAAGTTATGGAAGACAAAACAAGAATTTAATATGAAAATTACCGAAGAATTCAACCCTAGGTCCTCCTTTGTCGATACATCTGAAAAGTCGTGGGCTCATTTTATAACTTTTGACCTTTTCGAGAAAAAATATTGGAATCATTTCAGTGATAATTGTAGGCGATATTTAGATCCTGCTCTGGCTTATGCAGAATTCTCTATAATTAAAGTATGTAGTGAAAGTATATGTTTATAAATGAAACATAATTATCTAGTTTTTAATATGCTTGTTTTTAAGGGATCAAATCCCGAAGTCGAATGTTTATCAAGAGAGGAATACTTGGCCGTTAATACTAAAAAGTATCCTAAATTTTACGATCGTAATGAAATTTATAACCTGTTTGAACGATATGAAAAAATGAAAAAACATAATTACGACTATGATTCAATCGATCGGTAAGACCTAGTGATACATTACTCTCTCAAATTCTTACTCTCAAATTCTTACTCAAATTCTTACTCTCAAATTCTTACTCCCAAATTCTTACTCTCAAATTCTTACTCTCAAATTCTTGCTCTCAAATTCTTACTCTTAAATTCTTACTCTCAAATTCTTACTCTCAAATTCTTACTCTCAAATTCTTTAAACATTTTATTGCATATTTATTACAGAACTCGAGCTGTCTTTCGTTGCGCTAAAAGGGAGGCACTTGGTGGCCCACACATTCACGAAGTATATATTGATGAATGTCAAGATAATCAAATTGTTGATTTTTCGCTTATTTTGAGGCTTTTTAACCGAGCTACCATTTTCTTGGCGGGAGATACTGCACAATGCATTGCTCGAGGCTCCTCTTTTCGCTTTCAAAGTACATTTACTATTTCTCTCAAGAATAATGTTATTTTTTTTATTTCTAAACGTTATAACAATAATATAGGTGTATTTTCCTTATTGCATCAATGGGAACTCGTTCGGTCTCAAATTAACCCAAATTGGAATAGTTTTTTAAAACCAGAACGATTCGAATTAAATGTCAACTATCGTTCTCACAATGGGATTATTGCGCTTGCTGCATCTGTTATTGATCTTATTCAATCCTTCTTTCCTAATACTATTGACAATTTGCCACGAGAACGCGGTGAAGTTGGTGGTCCACGGCCCATAATGTTCAGGGGATATCAAGATGAAACTTCTGTTTTTAAATATTTCACCGTTGACGGACAATTAGGTGATGCCATTGAATTCGGTGCAAATCAAGTCATTATCGTACGTGATGAGAAAGCTAAGAAACGATTAGAAGAATCTATTGGAAAAGTTGGCCTAATTCTAACAATTTTTGAGGCAAAAGGCATGGAATTTAATGATGTTCTTTTATATGATTTTTTTACGGATTCGCCAGCAGGTCAAAAGGTATGATACAATAATATTTGTTTTGAGCCACAATTTACTTAGTACTTAAATTTGTACCATCGTTTTTAGTGGCGACTAATTCTTTCCGCTATAGAAGGATATTCTGGAGGCATGCAAGCTTTATCGTACGAAAGACATTTTTTACTTTCTTCAGCGTTAAAACATCTCTATGTGGCAGTAACTAGAGCCCGAGAGCACATTTGGATATTCGATAGAGATTATATATCTGGCGAGCCAATCTGGAAATACTGGGACCACCACGGATTGATCAGAACAAAATATGAAGAAGATGGGACTTCTTTACCTAATTTGGCTAAGAAAAGTAATTTACATGAATGGAATGAAACGGGAAAACATTTTTTTGAACGGCGGCAGTATAAACAGGTTAAGTTTCATTTTTAATACTTTATAACACTAAATAAAATAATTTGATTGAAGGACGCTAATATTGCCTTTAGGCTATTTTCTGTTTCGAAAAGTGTAAAAATGTGGAAGGGCTCAAACTCGCTGGTGCATACCTCCTTCGACAAGTTGCTGGGGACTCTATGCATGATTCTGATAATGATACTATAAAGTCGAATTTTATTAAAGCCGCAAAGAGTTTCAAAGAATGTTCTCGACCAATTCAAGCAGCTTCATGCTATCAGGTAAAGCATCTTTTTTAGTATTTAATGTGTTTATGATTTGATAAGTATTGCTGAGACTATAAATTTGAAAAAAAAATCTAGGATATTGGAATGTACAAAGAAGCAGGCGATATTTATTATGAATCGAATAGTTTTGAGTCTGCTGCAGATTGTTACAGTAAATGTGATGAGTGGGAGAAGGCTGGTGAAAGTTATAAAAAGGCAAATAAATATGTAGAAGCAGTTAATGCGTATAAAAATGGTGGATATTATGATAATGTAGTTGACTTGATGCAAAGGTAAATCTTTTTAACTCTTAAATCGGTCACCGATAAGATTAGATTAGAGATACAAATTACAGTACTTTGTGTTTTTGGCCTCAAAGTTTTTTTAAAAAAGTCCATATAATTGAACAATTTGTGTTTTTATGCAAATACTATTCATTATCCATTAAAAGTGAATATAACTGATATTTAAACAATTTAAAACATTAAGTTATAGGCAAAAAATTGATGATAAAACATTTCGCCGTATTAGTCGTTTTGTCAACATCCATTATCGTCGTGGAGATAATAAGGAAATGTGCGAAAAGGCTTTTCATATTATTCCAACACAGGAAGAACGAATAGAATTTCTGGCAGATCATGCCCCAGAAGAGCTCTTGAAAATCTATGTGAAAAAAAAACAGTTTCATGATGCTGGTGAATTTTTAGTCTCGCGCGGAAATTTTGAAGAAGCTGCCGATATGTTTAGGCGCTCTGCTAATATCAAGGATATTATTGAGTCATTAAAGTGCTTTTTATATCCATGCAGAATGAAAATACTTATAAATATGAAATGTCTGAACTAGGATACTTCAGAGAAACTACGCAATTCCCTTCATAAAGCAAATAACATAGTAAAATCAAAATCGAAGGCATTAAAAGAATCTAAGGAATTTGAGATCCTTGGTGAAGAGATCAAACTATATTCAGCATATTTAGATAATGATCTCAATCAAATCTCTATGTGTGTACAGTTTTTTCAAAAAAATAAAGCGACCGTTTCTGAGTTTCGTGAGATAAACTTATGGCTTCAAACACCAAAATCAATTCAAATTGAGTACTGGAACGAGAGATTGCAATATCTTTTAAGGATATGCGATTTAACCTTTCCCTTTATAGCCCCACGCAAAGACGTTACCAACATTGAGAAAGTCCGTAAGGGTTTGGTGAACTTTTTCCTTATAAGTGAGGTTAAAGACCGCAAGTTGAAGCGAAAAATTTCATCTGATAGTCCCCTCCTTGATCTTATTAATGAAGCTCATCAAAAAAATAACGTAGGAAATGCAGCAGAAGCAATAAACGATCAGGATCAGCATGTCTATGACATGAACGATGTGCATCAAGCAATTTCTCAATTCCTTGCCTCGTATATTTTTGGGCTTCTTGAAAACGCAGATCATACTGGCAGTGCAATTCCAGACATAGATTCTAAAATTTGCTATGAATTTGCATCCTCGGGTAATTGCTTTGCAACTTCATATAAGTATAAGTGTCAAGATAGGCACATAAAGCCAACACCAATGATTTTGTACAATCATCTGTTGCTTTTATGTCTACAATATACCGTAATG